CCCAACACAGGTATCGAAACCCGATATTTAGCTTCATAAGCCCTCAGGTTTACCGATGAGCCACTGGGGAGTATATTGTCAAGAGGATAATTAGTATATTAGTATAGTTTGCTAATGATATTAAACCGTTAGGTGTTTCTAGCAATATATCGAAGATGTTGAGATACTACAGAATAACTTGGATCAATTAGTAAGTTGGATTTGGCAAAAAAATTTTAATTATAGTAAGTGCAAAATAGTGCATTTAGATTATCACAGTTTAATAGATATGGAAATCCACTGAATAGCGTGACTGAAGAAAAGGATCGTGGCATAGTGTTGGAAAAGTTTCTTAAGCCATCGAAGTTGTGCTCTGTTACTAGTAGGAAGTCTAACAGGCTTACTGTGTACAAGTAAAAACCACAAGTTAGGCTTCACTTGAAATACTGTGTACAGTTTTGGTTTCCTTATACAAGAAAAGGATATTGACTTATTGAAAAGAGTTCAGAGAGCTACTAGGACAATTCCAAGGTTGAAAATGTTATCCTATAAGGAAATTGTTTGTTTGTTGAATTTCTGTGTTAACCGTCCCTAGCTTTGAAGTGATAGACTAAAAGGAAGGCAGCTAATCAACACCACCCACTGCCAACTCTTGGACATCTTTTTACCAACGAACAGTGAGAATGACCGTCATTTTCTAACGCCCCATTCCTGAAAGGGTGAGCATATCCTGTGATGAAATTCAAACCAGCAATCCGCAGGTTCCAAATCGGGTGTCTTAACCACTAGGCTCTTATAGGGAGTAAAATATCCTTACCTATTTTCTCTTATAAGTGCTGAATTTTGAAGATAGTAGGGCACAGTTTTGAGAATTAGGCTTGTTTGTTTTGAAGTTAAGCACAAAGCTACACAATGGGCAATCTGTGTTCTGCCCATCACAGGTATCGAAATCCGGTTTCTAGCGTTGAAAGTCCGCAGACATATTCCCGTGTCACTGGAGGGCTTGAGACTTAGGAAAGACAAGTTAGAATCTCGTTGGTAGTTTTATTTTTCTAAATGACCTACAGTATGAGTTACCATAGGCAGTAGTGGTGGGCAACATTTGCACTTTACAAGAGTTTAAAAGGGTAGCCGATGATTTATGTGATAGATATGTCAGAGTATATGTACGTTTTACGAAGAGGTGAAGTAAGCAACTAGTTGCCAACCCTTACTTTTCTCTTTTTGCCATTTCACTATATAATATATTCTATATCAGTGTTAGTTCCCGATGTGTTATTATATATGAAAAAGTAAATTAAAGCTTTTGTTGTAGAGTAGTTATTTCGTTGGCAAGTTCTTTTATATTATTTGGTGAAAATAATTCAACGTTCAGCCCACGTAACGATATTATATTACTTTCTTTCTTTAAAGTTTCTAGAAACTTGAATAACTGCACACTGCCGTAAACTTTTAGAGGCCTACATTACAAATGACGTTATTTGACGTAAAACAAATTAACTTATTTATACAAAGTGACCGTGATATTTAACACACTTAACTGGAACACTCTCTGTCTTGAAAATCACTCTCCACACTTCACAACTATTTGATATTTATAGGCTAGCTTCTAATTTATTATAAAACTTTAAGTCATTTTCTTAGTTTCCTAATTGCTCTAGGCCTATCTTGTTAAACCTTCTGATTTAAAAAGGTTATATTAAGATCCACAGCTCCCTCTAGTTAACATTTAAATTACAACATTAAAAATATAGCCTTCAACGCATTTATTTGATGTTCTCACATGAGCTACAAATTCGAGTAATCTATCTATTAAGAATGAGAGAGCGAAACGGAAATAGGTAGTCAATGTGATATATAACTACATCAAGAACGTGTTTCTAATTACGGTTAGGTTTAGGTTACCTATTTAAATCCTTTTATATTGTATTTAAGCATATCTTATAACAGCTCATATGAATATTGAACTGATATGTAGTTCAATATAAGACTTGTTGTCCCAAAACTGGAGAGTTGCTCCACAATAACTTTCATCTGACATTATTTTAGTACAAAAGAACTTTCGTCAGAAAAATATAAAGAATTTTGTCTATTTTCACTTGCTGAAATCAAACCGCAACAGTTTAAAAGCTCACAACACTACAGCAACGTTTTTGCTACCATCCTTACGTTTCAGTCAAGTGAAAGAAGCGAATTCAGAAAACATTACCTCCTGTTAAACTTGGGAACATACTGTTAAATTTAAAGAACATTACTTCTTGCTAAATTTAGGGAATATTACTTCTTTCTAAATTTAAAGAACATTACTTCTTGCTAAATTTAGGGAACATTACTTCTTTCTAAATTTAAAGAACATTACTTCTTGCTAAATTTAGGGAACATTACTTCTTTCTAAATTTAAAGAACATTACTTCTTGCTAAATTTAGGGAACATTACTTCTTTCTATATTTAAAGAACATTTCTTCTTGCTAAATATAAAGAACATCACTTCTTGCTAAATTTAAAGAACACTGCTTCTTGCTAAATTTAAAGAACATTACTTCTTGCTAAATTTAAAGAACATTACTTCTTGCTAAATTTAAAGAACATTACCTCTGCTAAATTTAAAGAACACTGCTTCTTGCTAAATTTAAAGAACATTACTTCTTGCTAAATTTAAAGAACATTACTTCTTGCTAAATTTAAAGAACACTACTTCTTTCTAAATGTAGGGAACATTTATTCTTGCTAAATTTAAAGAACATTACTTTTCGATAAACTTAGGAAACATTACGTCTTGCTAAATTTAGGGAATATTTCCTACTGATAAAATTAAAGAACATTACTTCTTGCTAAATTTTGTATAGGAGAAGCATACAACCATTTCTAGAACATTCCTTAAGCAGGACGACAATTTCTTTCAAAACATTGAAAATTTCTCGTTGAATATATTTACATCTCCTTGTGATCAGTAAGATTTGAACTTGGGAAATGATCTAAACAACATTTAGTAAAATTTTATTAATTTATTTTATAGAAGCATTTACATCAGAGAGAGAGAGCTATGTGTGTATGTTATGTTTGGTTCTTCTGTGTTCAATAAAGTATTAAGTACTAGCACCAGTCAGTGAACTTACGAAAGAATGGTATTAAGTATTAGCACCAGTCAGTGAACTGGCAAAAGACTGGTATTAAGTATTAGCACCAGTCAGTGAACTTACAAAAGACTGGTATTAAGTTGAACTGGCAAAAGACTGATATTAAGTATTAGCAACAGCCAGTGAACCTGCAAAATATTGGTATTAAGTATTAGCACAAGTCAGGGTACTTACAAAAGACTGGTATTAAGTATTAGCACCAGTCATTGAACAGGCAAAATACTGGTATTAAGTATTAGCACAAGTCAGTGAACTTACGAAAGACTGGTATTAACTATTAGCACCAGTCAGTGAACATGCAAAAGACTGGTATTAAGTATTAGCACCAGTCATTGAACTGGCAAAAGACTGGTGTTAAGTACTAGTTCAGTTCGTGAATTTACAATGGACTGGTATTAAATAGTAGCACCATCTATATTTAAGTATTAGTTCTAGTAAGCGAACTTACAATAGACAATATTTTAGTACTAATCATCTGTCAGTCCGTTAAGGAGTTACCAATAGTCCTTGTTTTGTACATTTATTCTCATCTCACTGAAGAATTCTCTCTTCCCTGCTCCAGATTTTCTTGTCATGCCTTAACATACATTTGTTTTTTTACTTATATGCTTTATCGACCTTTGGCAGTTTTCTGTTTGTTACTAAAGTGTCTTTGTATTATTTCTATAAAAAACATAACACCTTACTTAATACTAAGTTTATAGAGATTACCACCTATTTTGAAGTTTTTGGAGGAAAAAAATATTTCATCTACTCGACTGTGCCCTCTATAGTGTCACGTGCTAACTGTTTCAATATGTATATTTGTATAAATCACCATTGATTTGAATTTAAAGTATATTTTGTTTGTTTGAAGCTTTAGTAATTATTATCTTAACTGGCACAAGCTACGTAACGTTCTAGCAAATACAAGTGACAGACGTGTAAACAGTGACCTTTTTTTTTGGTGGTTTATATTTTTATTATAGAATTTGTATAATGGTAATGGGAAAAGCAGTAATTGAAATAGTACAGTTACATGAGAACCTCTGCAACTGAAGTTTCACTGTTCCTTTTACTTTTTACCACTTAATTTACATGGACAAGAAAATAAAATTTTTCAGTTTTCAGATTTCGATTTTCTGAGAGTATTATTTAAATTGTTCTAGTTTTGTTTGTTTCTTGGATTTTGCGCCAAGCTACACGAGGGATCTCTGCGCTATCCGTCTCTAATTTCGAAGTCATATACTAGAGGGAATGCAGCTAGACAACAACAACAACCAGCGTCTACTCTTCTTGTCAGACTGAATAGTAAGATTTGACCGTCACTCTTATAACACACTACTGATGCAAAGTGCGCAACACAAATTAGTTTGGTGGTAAATGGATTCGAACGATGGACCCTAGTTCCACAGTTCGGTACACCAACCACTAGGCCACAAGCGGCAAAATCGCCCTATAAAAAATCCAAGCTTAATTATGATATTAAATCATCTTAATTGACAATACTTTACTTAAGTAAATCTTATTATTGAATAGAGTTGTTTAAACATTTGTCTAACAACAAGTAAAGGATTGGAATGGTCTATTATTTCATTGGGAGGGGGGTGTCTGAGACCCAGACTAGTTTCGGAGAATTCCACTCCTCATCAGTAACGCTGGACACTACCACCCACGAAATATCACACCAAACCAAGTCTTTATATTAGTGAGGTATCGAAAATCGAAATGGTGTATTTAAGTGTTTTACACTCACAAAAAAAAAGAAACCTATCATTCTATAGGTATTTGAAGAACTTGTAGCATTTTGCCACAATTTAATTCTTTGTATTGTTATTCTGTTTGTTTGAACTTGTTGATTTGTTTCTAAAATAAGCAGTTTATGAAATTTCACCGCGACTTACGTTATCCAAAAGTATAAGAACTACATCTGTTTGTCCTCTGATACATCCGTGCATGAGGGCAGTAAGTCCTTGCCAGTCTTGAAAATTGGGATCAGCTCCTGCGTCCAGGAAAAGTCTGTCCAGCTTAGAACGGTTCTTACAGTCTTCCACATAGATGGACGTGCTAATCAGCGGTGTTTGACCACGCTCATTACGACTGTTTACATCGACTCCGGCCTCAACCAATAGCAAAGCCTGCCGATAACGCTTGTTCTTAATTGCTTCGAACAGAGCGTATTGCCCTGGGGTTCGGTTGACCCCTCCAAAGGTCGCCATTGAATCGACCACGGGATCTAATAAGTGATATCTGATCGCCAGCTTGTCAAGATCAATCACAAAAAACAAACGTTTAGAGAAAAAAATCTGAATTCAGGGGTATTGAGACTTTATGGTAAATTAAGAATTCTTAACTGTCTTACACTCAAATTAAACAATGCCCTTTTTAAGATCCAAGTTATTATTTAAATACTGTAGATACTCAAGTAATTTCTCCCGGCGGGTTATCTCACCGCCAACACATCTTGAGAGAGTCGTTACCACGATACAGACTCGAGAACAACAAACACTTGGTATTTCTGTTCCGCTCTGTGCGCAGCGAAAGTAGTAGAGGTACGGGTCTAGCCCACGTGTATTCATTGATCAACCATAGCAACAATACTGAAGATGTGACAATGTTTACGTTTCCAAACGAACACTGCAGCCAATAAACTTATGGTATTGTATATTGCCACAAAATCATGTTATTTTATCTGACAATATAGTTTTGGACACTTTGATTTGGTCACGTGAAAGCTTAAAAAGCTATTTAAATGTTATTTAACGTTTACTTGAAAAAAAAAATTAGACTCTATTGAAATTGCCCCAGCTGTGAGCTTGAGGGCTTATAACACTAATATTTGGGGTTAGAATCTTTAGGTGGCCACAGCACAGGTAGTCCATTGTGTTGCTTTATACTTCACAACAAATTAATGAAATCAATTTGCAAGGTACAGTTCTCCAGTTTACGCAGTGAAGTCAATTAAATATTGAGCAGTCGCTATAGAGATTTGTAAAACTTTTGTTGATTGAATAGCATTATCATATACGGGTACTTGAAACTTGTTTGGGGAGGGTGGTTTGAATCATATATAGTCTAACAGGACTGGCATATTTTGGAATACCACTGAATCTTGAGGGGCTGAATAAATGAACAAGCTTGAGCCATAGAAAGATTAGCAGGACTTGTATATGTTGGAATACAACTGAGTTTTGAATATTTCAGAGTCGTGCGGGTCTGATAGAATTCCTGAAAAAAATATCTAGAGATGTTGGTCTAAAACGTACTGTTGATTTATTTATGTTGAGATCTTGTTTTTTCGAAACAACTTATATGGGGTCATTAAGATTCTGTTTATTAAATTATGTTAAATGGCCTAACTTTACATTCAGTGCAGACTTACCTTTTGTATAGTAATAAACTAACAAGTAATAGCATGAACTATTTTAATATTTGACCGTTTAAGTCTTAACGACACTTTATGTAAGCTAAACGACCAGGTTAAAGACCCCCAAGGTTGAGGCACATCAGTCCTTACGTTATAACTGCTGATTAGATGGAGGGCAATTGGTCACTAGCATCAGCCGCCTATACTGTTACTCTTATCCGAATTAATTGACTTTCACTTTTATGTACCAACAGCATATCGCATGTTCGAACCTTGGAACTACCAATTTGCAACCCGACATGCATGAAGGTTTAATTTTTCCATCACTCATGAGCGATTTAATGGGTAGGTCATACAAGAAAGCAGGACATCTAATTTTTAAAATATTATTCTATTATGGCTTTTCAATGTTATTCTTAAGTTTAGTGATGATTTATTATGATTTTAGGCATATGATTCTCCAGTGTCCATAAACAATATTTATAACAACAACTGCCTTATCACTCACGCTTATTTAGAAAAATTAGCAATGAGTTTTGAAATGAAGATGGTTAAAGCATAGCTTAGTAGTTAGCATCCTGAGCTATGGATGGAAAGGTCCCAGACTCGAGCCTGGATCCCGCTGAAAACTCTTCGCACTTTCAGCTGTGAGCGCGTTATAAACATGACAGTCAGTCACGTTATTTAGTTCAAAGATATGCTGGTGACTGGTTTCCCTCCTTCTAGTCAGTAGGATTTTAAATTAGAGACAAATATACCTGAATCTAAAGGGTTTCCTACCTGTACATTTAATCCATGCGTTCATAATCCCAAGTGGTAAAAAATATAAAGTATGATGGAAAATTCTACAGAGATGGAGACAGACTCATGATATAGGGTAAAAAAAACAAAAACATTTTATTAATTTTCTTTCTTATTTCAAGTAAACATCAGTTCATCACGAACTCATTATATTCAACTATCTTAAATCTAACTGTCCCAAATGGACACAAGTTTTTGACTGACAATCGCATTCACTAACGTTAAGATAATCTAGTAAGAAGTAAATACACTATATAAAGTAGTGTATAGTCTTAGTATGTTCCAAACAATGCATTCGTATTCACATAAATTCCCAACTAGATGAAGATTCATACAAAATGAGTTATCGCAACGAGTATGCTATAAAATAAAATAACTTTCTACGATTTTACATTACACTTATGATAACTTGTAGCACCAAACGTTAAAACTTTAATATTTTGGCTAAAAAACCTCGTTGCACAAATCAACATCAATGACGAGTAAGGATACACTCCGGAACACTATAATCATTACAAAACATTACCGAACTACTTTAAATCCAAGAAAACTACAGACTTAAATATTTTTCTATTATACGAAAGTTTTAAAGACTTTAATTAAGAAAACAAAATATATGTACTGGTATTTCAAATTTTAAATTATCTTAACAGATTTCTAAGCCGCTGAACTTGAAAAGTATGTTGTTATTTTTGTTTTAGCGCAAAGCTACAAAATTGGCCGATTTACAATCTGTCCACTACAAGGAATCAAACCCCGAATTTTAGCACTGCAATTCTTTAAACTTACCATTGATCCATCAAAGACTTGAAATAATATAAAAAATAAACTAGAGTTGTTAAGGTCGAAAAAGGTGGCGAAGCCTTGGTAACCACTAGGCCTAACATTTGCGATAAACAGCATATTTAGTTTTCCACATTCCTCATAATTTTACCATTCACACTCCAAATCAAAGGTAAGTAAAAATAACATTTCAGACCTATCTTTTGTTAGCCACAAGTCACTGCCCAGGAGGTCTCTCGATCAGTATTAGGATTTGACTAATTTCTGTTCTGAAGTGAAAAACTCTAACACTCATCCATTTCACGTGGAAAGTTTTTATCACAACCTTATTCATTACACTTGTGTTTGGCAAAGGTCACACTGCCAACATTAGTAAATCGAAACTTTTATTTAACTATAAAAAATTGTATATTTTTTCTTGTAGCCGCAGACTTCTGGAAGAACCATTCAGTTTTGTCATTGTTTGTCGATGTATACTAATTTTGGTTTACCGTTTTCAAGTTTTTTTGCAAATATTCTACATTGAACCTTACAATTAGAAATACACAAATACTTGTCAATACCAAACGAAAACATGTATTTTAAGTAAATACGACGATTATTAGAAAAAAATGCTAAATTTTGTATTTAAACCAACAAAAACATTTGTCGGCTTTTTGTGAATATTAAATTATCAATAATATACACCAATAAATGTTTAAACTGAAAATAACTGACACATGACTCCAAGGGCTACCAAACAGAAATTAACTAAATCGCGGTTCAAGTGGTACTTTTGACACGCATTTATAAAGATGAATTTAATTCCACAAAGAATATTCTCGCATCCATACACAGACTTCTTAAAACCAAAAAACATCCAGGAATTGAGACGTTTACTAATTGCTTTCCGCTTTTTTTGCTGGTTGCTTTGTAAAGGACGATGCGGAGCATACCTGAACCTCGGATATCCAACAAGAGGAAATCTACTTGACAATCATATCGAGTTACCTTTTTAAAGAGATCAATGATAAATGGGAAACAATTTATGTTTAGAAACTTCGAAATTTTCTGCATGATTGTTTGAAATAGTATAACTTTGTCAGGAAAAGCACATAAAGAAATAAAATTCATTCTTAGTTTTAAAAGATGATTAAATAATGACATTTAAACGACTTTATACCAATTTTTGTGATTAATTATATCCTGTCTTTTATTAGATTTTACATCTATTTTGCAAAGTTCTATTTTGAGCCTCGAATTAAATGTTTCTTTTTTGTTTTAACAATTTCAGTATTACTTAACAAAACCAGCCACATAATGTTTTCACGTTTTTATCATTGTGTTAAAAAGAAAGTCCCGTTAATATTAGCCAGTAATCTTAATAATAAAACATAAAAGTCATTTCGTCAGATTTCATGCACATTTAACATCAACGCTCTAACTTCAAAGTTTGTGTAAGATAGATGGTTGTAAAGAACAACAAAACACAATAGGCCTATACATTGCAGGAGATGAAATGTTGTACGGGTTAAAAACAAGAGGGTAATATAGCGTTAAAGTAACGAATAAGAAAACACAGCAGACTTACACATTCCATTCTTTATGAATCAACAGGAAAAGGTGAATAAGAAACAGAACTGATATAAAGAAGAGCACAGAACAGGCTCGCGTGTTTCATGGAACCATTAGAAACCTAACTTTTAAAAATTTAAGCCTTACATAATACATTCAAATATCTGGATATGTCTCAGCTCAGCGTTAACACTTGGTACTGACCTGAACATCTTAAAGATTACTTACACAAAGAATCAACATTCGAGCGTTTAAGACTCCATAAGTCATGCCTACGTGTATAAAAACTAAAACGCTCACACCGTACGGTGTGGTTCTTTAACACCAAAAGTGTATTTTTAAATCAATAGGCAGTTAGTAGCGTTAACAGCAACTTGAAAATCTCGTGGGTGAACAGAATCTTACGAACACGCACACGTTCCTCATTCATTTTGGAGTATCCTTTAGCAAAACATAACTAGTTTTTTTTTATTAAAGTAAGGTCCTGCAATCGCTTGAGGAATTTATATTTTAAAATATTTTAAAAAGACTATTCAAAAAATACAAAAAAAATGTCCGCGACTAGCAATCTCTCTTCCTATTACAACTATCTTTTAAAGTGGATTTTTGGTCGTTTGTGGCTATGAATAATGCATAGGCAAATATAGCTGACTTCTAAACTTTATTTAAAGCTTTATCTTCAGGCCTATGAATTTAGACTAATATAAAATTGTTTCAAAAAACATTAAATACATATAAAAAGGCACAGAAATCCATAAAATCTGTAGAAAGCTTTAAAGCTACAAACTTAGCAAAATAAAATTAAATCTATAGAAACTGTTTCAAAACAGCTCACTTGCCAAGTTCATAAGATGATGTTAATTTACATACACTTTCATCATGTCAGATTTTAAAGCGTCCAGCTGTTACCTGAAACTTAAAAAAAATATTTACATGTTTAACTAAGTGTAACTGATATAAATGCGAAGTTAGTTTTTGTCATATACCTCAAAATTAAAGGTTTTACGTTATTTTGTCTAGGGTTTGAATAATATTAAGATAAACCAAAATTTAAACTTAAGAATAAACCAAGAGTTTTTAATACCTGTTATTTTATTAACGTTTAATTTTAATCGAAATATAAAATAAATTATAATCAATAATTATTCAAAAATTTTACAAGAATTAAAGTTGTATATAAGTTGGTTACTTGTTCCTAAAATAATAATGAATTATTTGACCGAACTAATAAGTATAACAAATAAATTAATAAATGCTGATTTTATCATTATTAGATTAATCTAATTAAAAATTAATTTTCTCGTTAAGTATTTAACTTTTCCTTTCATGACAATTAATAATTTAAAATAATAATAAACATTAAACTTCTTTAAACTGATAATTTTTATTCTACATTAAGTAATGATTTAATATAATTAAAATATAAAATTTTCTTTAATTAACTTAAAAATAATTAAATTTTAATGTAATTATAAAATTTAAGGATACTTTTAAGTTCACTAATTTTCTTTTTTTACGCAATCTAGTAATGAAAAATAAATACTATCCAATATTTCTATTTATTTATATATTAATGGTATATTATCAAATATATGGATTTGAGACATCTAAATTATAAAACAGATTTTTCTAAATAGTAAAATAGCAAATGTTTTTTTCTCTATAAAATCCACCTACATTGTAAAATGTAGAATGTAGTGTTCAAAATTTTAAGCACATTTCCTAGGACTTATATTAATTAAAAATTAAATCTAATCACAATTTTTAGAATTTACATTCGTTAAATATTAACATTAATCCAGTTTACAGGATGCAAGGAATATGAAAATATCTAACCTTGTTTTTCACGGAATCATTTTTCACAGGGACATTCTGTATATATATATCTGGTTTTAAACTTAATCAAAACTAAATTATTGAAATGTTTTAACTTAAAAATAACTCGAAGATGTAAAATTTAATTCAATTTGTTTGTGTATAATTCAAGATAGAAGTGATCGTTTCTTTCATGAACACAAAAATACTTTAATAAAATCGCCTCATTTTGTTCCTTACGTTTCCAGAAAGTTTCAATTGCTTATTGGCCTGCCGAATAAACTATTTGATTGCACACATATACACAGTGTGTATATAAGTACGACTCCTGTCTGAACTTAACGTCAAACAATATCACAGCTCCATCTGTGGTTCATAACCACATTAAAATTATTATTCCTATCTTTGTTAATAAAAATCACAAAATATGCTCACAGAGAAATAAAATTATTATATAATAAAACAAATAATAATCTTATATTTTATATATATATACACATATCAATTTACTAGTTTTCCATCACCAATACAAACTAATACGAACAAAGTGGACGAGCACCTCTCGGAGAGGGTTGGTCTACAAAGTAGAAATATAATATATATAAAGTCCTTTCTTAAAAGCGAAACAAAAAATCTAGCAAAAATCTTAACTATTTAGTATATTTTTCTGTGTGACTTAAGGTTATGGTGGCAATGTTATAGTATATTATAGATGTAACAAATAAAAACATTCGTTGTACGAACCTGAAATCACTGTATACAGTACTAGTGATATATATATATATATATATATATAGTGTTATTCAATATTAAGATATGTGTTATATGTGCATGGCATTCAGTGAAACTATTAAGTTTTGTAATCCAATGAACATTTTCCAAAAGTTATTACTCAGTTCTGTAATTGGTACTGTGATACACACTCTTTTATTTCTATCTATACCATTGAAACATTAAAATAGCTAAGAACTGTAAAGCAAAACAAAATAAATCGTTAAACCTACACTTATCAGACCTTTGGAGTAAATTTGAGCATAAGTGGGAGTTAAACCCACATTCTCGGTCAGTTGGAATACCCGCAAATATCCATAGTTGAGAGTAATCTGGGTTGGAGTCCCCTGGGTTTAACTTGTAGAAATCGAACTGATGGGATGTGTCTCTGTCTAAATCTTCGTTCATAAAAATTAACTATTTACAAGTTCGAGTTCTACAGTAACAACCAATTCTTCTGTAACATCTGTAATATGATTTGAAAGTAGATTTCGCTAGTGTTTGTTTTGTTTTTTAATTATGCACAAAGCTACACAAGGGCTGTCTGTGCTCTGTCCACCACGGGTATCGAAACCCGGTTTATAGCGTTGTAAGTCTGCAGACATGCCGCTGTGCCACTGGGGGGCATTTCGCTAGTGTATTCGACACGCGAATAAAGTTTTCTATGGATTTACGTGTGCTGTTTGTCTTGATTTCGTTACGACGTTTCGAGCTCCATGCAAGTGAATTCCACAAAAAACTCAGTCCACATCTAAAACAAAAACTTTAGTGTTAATTCATTCTTGTTCATGATTTAGAATAGCATAACTCCAACATTTTTCAAGAAACTCTCCTATTTATGATGACAAATTGAAATATAGGTTTCTACTGTATTATACCTTTGATACTAACTCGAAACATTGGTTTTTAGTCTTATATCCAAGATGCTAACTTGAAACCTCGGTTTCTACAGTGTTACATCCAAGATGCTAACTCGACATACTCGGTTTCTGCTGTGTTACACCCATGATGCTAACTAGAAACCTCAATTTCTACTGTGCGACACTCATGATGCTAACTTAAAACCTTGGATTCAACTGTGTCACACTAATGTTGCTAACTTTAAACCTCAATTTCTGCTGTGTTACACTATTGGTATTAACTTGAAATCTCGGCTTCTACTGTGTTACATTCGTGATGCTAACTTGAAGCCTCGGTTTCTACCGAGTTCTTGTAAAATGTTCTGAACATTCTTGCACGTTTAATAGAAACGTGAAAATGTGTTATTAATCGAGAGAGGTGTTGCTGTAGCCCAAAACGTGCTTCGGCCAAAGTTTAGTATATTATCATTAACACTAATTTATACCAGTTAGTTCTGTATAAAAAAACAAAAATACTATGAATAAAAATATAGACTTAACACTAACGTAGTTAGTACTACCAAATATTTCACAAGAAGTCTCTTTGCTCTTCTCCCTGACTTATTAAACAAGAGTTACCAGATTTTGTAAACCTTACGAGCACTTAGGCTCCATAACAAACAAACACACGGCGACTGTCACGAAACAAGATACTCAACAAAATTCTCACGATTCACATCGACCTACAAAATCACTATGAACAGTAAACTAGTGGTTGTATAATCACAGCATTAATTGAAACAACACAATGTTTCGAGCTAAACTAAGTAGATCCGTTTGTTATGTATACATATATCTATTTCACATATATATGTATGTGTACATCTATGTGATACCCCATTTTCCTTGCATGTGATCACAGCATGTGAATAGTTTGACGACTTCACAGCGACATCTACGAAATTCCTAATAGCTATTCTTTAAAAATATCTACGTACAATATAAAAGTAAATAACCCACAATAAAGAGCACTATAAATATGGGTGTTAGTGCCAGCATAATCTCTTGCTGCATAAGATAGCTTATTTGGTGGAACAGTCGGTCTAGATTCAAATACCCAGAGAATCCAGATGCCGTTCTTTCCATGACATGTGGCTAAGAACAGTTATGATTTGGTCACTTCATATTTTCATCAACAAACATTCGTCGCCTCTTCAAGAGCAGGGTTGATTTTTTTCCACTTCTTGGAGCAGTCCTTGAGTATCAGAGAGGAAACTCACCATTGATTTGGTAAACTAACTTTTAATCGAATCTTTAGTTTACGAGGGTTGGGACTTTGTGGGAGTGGTAGCGTGATTGATGGACGTATCGATGGGTTCGTTACAATGGACCGCGGAAAAGAAACGTTCTAGAAGAGAGAAGAAAAATATGAGTTGTGACACAATTTAAATTGGTAACATAACTTATCTAACATATTTAGTTGTAAACGTATCACTTATACAGCAGGGGTGTTTTGGTGTAACAACAGGGGTTATTTTCTGTAGCAAACTAGGGGTGTTTTGGTGTAACAACAGTAGTTATTTACTGTTAACAAAGTAGAAGTGTTTTGGTGTAACAACAGTGGTTATTTACTGCAACAAACTAGGGGTGTTTTGGTGTATCAAGAGTAGTTATTTACTGTAACAAACTAAGGGTGTTTTAGTGTAACAACAGTAGTTATTTACTGTAACAAACTAGGGGTGTTTTGGTGTAACAACAGTAGTTATTTACTGTAACAAAGTAGAGGTGTTTTGGTGTAACAACAGTGGTTATTTTCTGTAGCAAACTAGAGGTGTTTTGGTGTAACAACAGTAGTTATTTACTGTTACAAAGTAGAGGTGTTTTAGTGTAACAACAGTAGTTATTTACTGTAACAAACTAGCGGTGTTTTGGTGTAACAACAGTAGTTATT